GATGATGATGATGATGTTGGGATTTAGAATGGGGGTGGAGGAGAAGGAAGAAGAGAAGGTATTGGGGTGGAAGAGAAGTCACCCCATGGCGCCATTTCACCCATATAATTTTAGCTCTCTTGGTGTAACTCAAGATTGTTTTCTTTATATTGACACTGCACTGCATTATATATTGTCAATATGTAAAATATATTTCAAAATGACCAATAATTTGCCTGGAAACACAGAAAAAAAGCATTTAGTTGAAGAGAGTCTCAAGCAAGATGTTACCTCCACTGAAAACAGAGAGACTAACTCCTGATTGCTGTGTTAAGAGGCTGGATGCCGCGCATTAAACTAGTCACTTTACCTTCAATTATGTTCAATAATTGTTAAAATGACTAAAAAATTGAATGTTAAACTTTTAAAATTATTGAATAGTATAAACTTCTTGATATTTACTAAAATAGTAAGGAATTTAAGCCCTAGAACCGATTAATGTATTGGCGGACTGATACTAAAGCTGGTTGCCCGATCAGTGCAAGCGAAAACATGTTGAGGTCGGTTCGTAAGAACTTCGTTAACCGAATTTTTTTTCGTTAACCGAATTGAAGATCCTTATGGAAGGCAGTTCGTTAATCGAAATTACGCTAACCGAGGTGTTCGTTAAACGAGGGGTCACTGTATATATATATATATATAAATATATACAGAAATGATCAAAGGGCCTCCCATCTATCTTCCCCAACAACAAACACATGACCAACACAACACACCTGAACCAGCACATGAGAGGGCTTAAGGGTACAGTCCTCGCAAAACACTCCATATGCTGTACAGGTATAATGTGGCCAACACTGGATTACATGAGAACCCAAGCTACATCCACTTTTTTGTAGGTAAAATTCTTCTTTAGGAGAGAAAATACATTAAAGGGTATTCGATAAAAGACGCAACCTAACAAGAGCATCTACAGTATTTTCAATACAAGGATTGGGAAATCATTTTGGAACTTATATAATTTAGATTCAAGTATTTGTAGCTTATCGTGTACAGTTACAGTACTTTTGTGTGGAATAATACACCACCCAAATAAAGTATGTACAGTATCTTAACATTTATAGTTCATATCTTTTAAGTTATTTATAATATCCTTTGAGTGTTCTACATGTGAATTAGAGAACTTATCTTCGTAAAGGGATAGCCATCCACTGAGCCATTTTACAGTACAGTATAGCTCTAAGTGGTACATCATCTCTAGGAATTTTAGACAGTCTACAGAATCTGGGAAGACTAGGGTTGGCGACTTGAAATTTATCTAAGAATTTCAGTCTCCTTATTATCATCACTGTTCCTATCTTTCTTGGTGAATTCAGCAACAACACTCGAGAAAGTTCTTGGTCAACACATGATACGGGTCGGATAATAAGTTACCGGATGTGCTTTAATCCAGTAAGTGAAGTGATTAAGATTGATATTAAGATTCAGTAGAGTACAACAACAAAACTCTTAACTGATTTTTATAAAGGGATATAGAGCAAAACATTT